GTCAATACTGTGGGGTCTTGGTGAAGGGCTACACTTACCTCATGGATCAGAGTAGAAGAGTTCACAGATGGACTGTCACAGGTATGCACAACTGATTTTTGGTAAAGGTACAAAAGCGACTCATTGGAGGTGGGATAGCTTTTCCAATAATTGCTGTTGATGCAATTAAACATCAACAGGAAAAAAATGGACCCTGATCTAAATCTTGGATCCTTTAAAAATTTTACCCTAAAGTTGTTTACAGATTTAAATATAAAATGTAAAACTAAAAAGCATGTAAAAGACATAGAAGATTGCTGGGATTTGAGGCTAGGCAAAGCATGATTTTTGCTACCAAAAGTACTACACATAGGAAGAAAAATTGATACTTTGGACTTCATCACAATTAAAACCTTTTGCCCTACAGAAGACCTTGTTAAGAGGATTAAATACAAGCTGCAGACTTGGAGACAATATTTGTAAGACACATATTCAGCAAAGGACTAGTATTTAGAACCCATAATGAAATTTCAAAACTCAACAGTAAAGAAAACCAAACAATTTAATTGGAAAGTGGGCAAAAATCGTTCATAGACATTTCATCGAACAGGGTTTGCAGATGGCACATATCATTATGAGAAGATTTTCCACATTATAGCTGTTAGAGAATGGAAATTAAAAGCACAATGGGATATTAGTGGCTAAAGTGAAATAATAGTACAAGCAAATGTTAATAAGGATGTGGAGAAACCACTCATTTTTGGTGGGAATGTCAAATGATACAGCCCTCTGCAAAATGGTTCAGCCATTAAAAGACGAATAAAAAAGAAGGATACAACTAAACATGCAATTATCATACAACCCAGCAAGTGCATGCCTGGGCATTTACTCTAGAGAAATGAAAATTTTTGATCACATCATAACTTGCATGTTAATTTTTACAGCAGCCAAACTGTAATCACCCTGGGAATCCTCCAATGCGTTAAGCAAATTGTTCTACTTCCATACAATGGAATACTACTTAGCAATAAAAACAAATGAACCATCAATATATACAACAGCAACAAATAATCTTTAGAGAATTACGCTGAAAAAGCAATTGGTAGAAAATTACACACTATGTGATTTCTTGCTATGCCATTCTTGAAATGGCAAAATGGTAGAAGTGGAGAACAGATTAATGGCTTTGAGGGCTTCAAGGTGAGGTGGGGAGGAGTGTGGCACTAAAAGACAGCATGAAGGACCTTTGTGATGATGGAACTGTCTTGTGTCTCAACTGTGTCATTGTCATTGTTTTGTTTATGACAATGTCCTATATTTTTGTAAGATGCTGCCTTAAGGTGTTTGGGTAAAGGGTAGCTGGGACCTCTTTGTATTATTTCTTAAAACTACCCGAGCATCTATTAAATAAAGAGCTTAGTATAAAAATTACACTCAGTGGATCAGCTGGAAAAAAGAAGTAGAAATAGAAAAATTAAGTTTAGTCAAAAAGAGAATACATAGCACGGTAATTCACATAACTATAAAAAAGTGTTACAACTGAAATCTGAAACTGCCACCATACAAGGGCCACAGATGCATTTTATGTACTTCTCATTTTATCACACTGAATATTAAAAAGATGTGGTGTAAGGGTTGAGATTTAATAAAATTAACCATTTTTTCGTGCTTTTTGGAGGTCATTTTAAAGGTGCTTTTGATTCATGTTAAGGTACTGTCAGTTTTTACCATATAAATAATTTCTTTTTTACCCTCAGTGCAAATGTCAAAACAGTGAAAAAGGAAAATAACCTTTTCCACGGTCTCAGACTACATTTTGAAAACTGGTGTACTGCCTTATGTTTCATTTATATGAAGCTTAACTTACCCCTGAAATTAATTTGCATGTCTCTCTCCTTCAGAACAGAATGTTCTGACCTTAGGTCCACGAGGATGAGTTATTGTACTGGGTTGTGATAAATCTCGCAACCTTAGGGGCTGTGCAGGTGTGGTCAACACTAAATTAAAGTAGTATGCTTTATAGTTAGTAATTCAGTTTGCTGTGTATTCTCTCCCCTGTCAAATTCTAGCAGCCACTAACCCTGCTATTTCTATTCATTTTCTCAGAACTCTTCTTAGAACATTTTGAGTATTTCAGAGTAAACTAATTTAACATGATTAGTGTTTCTTCACTAGTTTAATTTGATAAATTCTCTCTTGAAGGAATATCTGTACTTTTCCTTGAAAGTAGAGGGCTGCTGTTTAGAGTACTCCTTTAGAGGCTTGTATCTTGCTTACATCTAGGGAAATAATTTTCTTCTGGATGTTCAAGCTGCTATAAGTCTAGCTATGACACAGGAGGGATTGCTGAATTGTATATGTCACATCAATTTGTATATCTGTAATCCTCTTAATTTCTTGGTGATCTCTGGAAGAATTGTCAGCTGATTTGGGAAAAGTTTACTCATTTTTCAGCAAGGACTTCCTGGCTCTGGGTCTATATACCAAACAGTGTTACAGTAGAGGTTATTAAGACACAGACATGACAGAGGAATGACCATGTGAACACTCAGGAAGAAGGTCAGTGGTTAGGCCAAAAAAAGTCAGTAAAAAAACAATAAAGAAAATATAATTACCAGCAATTCCATTCTTTCAAACAAACAGCTATTATTTTAAAATATTACCTCATTTTCTTCAATCTCTTTTCATGAATGCCTGATTAATTTTTTGCATGAAACTTAAAAAAATTATTTCTTTTGTTTTATTATTTTATTGATGAGAAACTTTGTTTTTTAGAATAGTTTTAAACTTACAGGAAACTTGCAAAGATAGTATGGAGATTTCCCATATGTTCCACACTGCATTTCCTTGTTATTAGCATAATAGTGGGTTGAACAATTGTACCCAAAAGATATGTTCAAGTCCTAACTCAGGGTACTATGAATGTGACCCTATTTGGAAACAGGGACTTTGCAGATATAATTAAGAATCTTGTGAGGCACTCAAGTTGGATGAAGAGAGGGCCTCAAATTCTCTAGGACTGGTATGATGAGAGGAGACTGCCGTGTGAACACACGGAGCACATAAGGACAAAGGCGCTGTGATGATGGAGGCAGAGCCTGGAATGATGATGAAGCCAAGATTGCTAGTGACCTCTAGAAGTGGGGAGGAGGCAAGCAAGATCCTCTGTCTTCAGAAGGAGCGTCGCCCTCCTTGCACCTTGATTCCAGAGCTGTGAGAGAATAGTTTCTGTTGTTTTTTGTCAGCCAGGGGTAATTAGTCATGGCAGCTCTGGGAGACTTACACATCTACAGCAGTATGGTATATTTATTAAAATTAATAAACCAATATTGGTACATTATGTTTACTAAGGTCTGTACTTCATTCAGACGTAGTTTTTATATGACGTCAATTTTTTTTGTTCTAGGATCCCTGCTGGGGAACAAATGTTCAACAGATGAGCCAGTGGGAGACATTTTATATATTCAGACCAAAACAAACAGTGACAAACTGGCTCCCACTATCCTCCTCTGATTCACTTAATTTTAAAATTCCAACGTCTTCATATAGCACATAGAACTGTTAACCCATCTTCCCACGGGATACTTTATCAGCTAAAGCACAGTGCTATCTGCATGATTTCTTTTGCCTTTAATTTTGCGTATTCCATTTTCAGTTAGTGAGGTCAGCTGCTTCTTCCCCACCTCCTTCCATGAGAATCCTTCACAGGTCATTTTGTTACATTCTGCATGTCCACCCTGGGATTCCTCCTGATGCCCTATGTGATACTTTTAACTTTGATTTGTTAACGTCCACTTTCTGTGCTAGAACTAATTCAGTGAGTTTTAGCAAACACATAATGTCATAGAGACACAGTTCTTCCAATATCATACAGAGCGGTGTCACATCTTTAAAAAACCCTCTAGACCTGGTCAATTTTTATTTGGAACAACTTTAAAGGTACAAAGAAATACAGAAGTCAGACTATTGAGAACACCTGGGGACAAATTATTCAGAGCTTAATAAAGGTTAACATTTTTCAAACTTGTTTCATATTTTTTAAAATAGAAAATAAAAATCATTAAATCCTCTTGTATTTCTTGTTAATTTTATCTCACCTCCTTCTTACCCAAAGGCAGTTATTGCTGTAATTGTGGTCTTTTAGCCCAAGTTCATACTTTACTAGACATAGTTATGATCCTAAACAATAAATAATATAGCTTTGTGTGTTCTAGCTACATAAAGATAAAGAAAAATTTTGTATGCAATTTTTTGAAGCATTTTATTTTCATAAAAGATCCATCTATGGATCTTTTTTGTGTTTAAATGGCTTTATAAAGTGTTTAATTGTATGACTAAACCACATTTTATTCATCTGCTTATTAATGGACGTTTAGATTTGGCTTTATTTCTGCTATTCATGTGCTCTGTGACTCTCCTCTACCTATATCTCCATGCTGGAAGTGAAATTGCTGGCACACGTAGCATGTACTTTTGCTATTTTACGATAAATGGTCAATTTACCTCCATTGTGGTTTTATACATTCATCACATCACTAGGATCACTTGGTATTGCTGACTTCACAGTTTTTCTAATCTGATGATGTGAGAAGTTTCCTTTCCCTGTCATTTTTGTCAGCAACTAGATTTTGTTTGTTTTAGGGGACATTTGTTACTAGCTCCATTAATTTTTTTTCATACTAGGGTTTGAACTCAGGGCCTCACACTTGCTAGGAAGGTGCTGTGTACCACTTGAGCCATGCCCCCATCTCTTTTTTGTCTTAGTTATTTTTGGATAAGGTTTTTTTTTTTTTTTTTTTTTTGGTCAGGGCTGGCCTCGGACTGAAATTCTCCTACGTATCCCTCACATGCAGCTGGGACCCCATGTCTGGCTCATTGACTGAGATGGGGTCTCCCTAAGTCTTTGTGGGCTGGTCTCAAATTGTGATTCTTCTGATCTCTACCTCCTGAGCATTTGGGATTACAAATGTGAGGCACAGTGCCAGGCCTATTTCTCATAATTCTTTACGTTATTTTCAAAGATGTCTGCTCATCCAGGATTTACAAAGTTGTTGTGGAGCCCAACTGCACCCAAATTTGCTGCTCCAGAATCTGTCATGAGGGAAATGTTATATCCAAAATACGAGGTAACATGCTGAATGAATTTTCTGTATTATTTTTGTTGTTGCTATTTAACAATTAAACTGTATAATTAATAATGACGTTAAATCTTACGAAGCAGTTATATAGTTTGTCAGACAACTATAGTCATGATTGATTGGGTGGCACTGTAGAAATTATGTATGAAAATAATTGCCATATGTGTGCATTATTATATGTATACATATATGTAAATATATACCTGTATACCAATAAAACTATAATTTTATATAATCATATAAGAGACATCTATAGCTTTTTCTATAAGATGTTTTACTTACTTTACCTAGACAAGAATATTGTGTTTTCTTTTCAAAAGTATATTTTATTTGACTGAGGATTCAAGATAAAGTCACGGAGTTTGGTTAGATGCTCTTTGTGGTATTTTTGATAAGTGAAGAATTATATTTTAGATAATAATGAAGAATCGCTAATCATTTTTTGGTGGTGATGATAGCATTGTTGTCCACATTTAGCAGATCAGTGGTCATTTTCCTCAGGCAGCCGCTGGGTGGTCTCCTAATTGACTTCTGTCTTCAGCTACTGCTGCTCCCCATGTAGCCTGGTCAGAACCCCACCTCTGGAACCATTTGCTCTTGAAAGTGCATTTTTTGTTAATCTAGTGTTTAAAAAGCTTAACTCTACCCAAGTACAATTATTAATCTTTTTTTCTTCTTCCCAAAGAATGTTTGCTTACTCTTGCCTTATGTTATAGTGCTTATTGTGCAAATTTTTAAAAAAAGGAAAAATTATCATCTATTATTATTCTGAGTCAGACACTTACTGCCTATGTTTTTGGCCCATTTGCTTTCATTCATAAAATATCTTCCTTTTCTTTCTTCTTTTCTTCCTCTCCTTTCTTATTTTTTTTCTCCTTGCTTTTTTCTTCTTGAAATAATTCAGTGATGAGCATGAATTTTTAATGGCATTTAGAATTATTTTATTTGCATAGTATTTTTAGACAGCTTACTAAAATACCTGTATTAGAAATGGGCAAAGCACAATAAGGGTAGTAGCATAATGAAACAGAGATAAGATGAATACAAAGAAATTGAGTACATATAGGCTGTTGCTTGAAATGAGGTCATGGATTTAACGCTTACGAAGGATGGATCATGTTCATATTTGACCAGCTGTGTTGTGTGCTAGGCCTGGGATGTGTGCGAGGCTCACCTGGCAGGCAAAATGGTAGGCCATTTGGACTAAGATGGCTGTGGTCATATCAAGCTGAATCCCTACAACTATTTTTATCTTTGTTAACTTTGCTATCAGAGTTATTCTTGCTTTCATCTTTTTAAATATTCTGTTATTGATATAGCATAGGAATAAACTTCATGAAAATCTGGAAGAACTCATTGTTTGGATTTATGTGAGTCACTTGGGTAGGTAACTAGTAGTTTAAAATTTGCTCTTCTAATTCTTGGGTTATTCATATATATGGTTTTTTTGTGTGTGTCAATTGGTAACTTACATTCTTACAGAAAGCCACCTATTCCATTGAGATTAGTCAGTAAGAGCACAGAGCTGTATGTGTCATTCTTTTGTCAGCTTTAATCTCTGTTCCCAAGGTTGCATCATTATCTTTCACATCTCTAATTATAGTTTTTGATATTTTCTTACCTAGAAAAATTTTTAGAAAGTAGTTGATTTTTTACATTTATTTTTAAATTATAAATGCACTACACTCTATCAAACTACTGTGCCTTTACCAGTAATTAACAATCACTTTGATTATATTTTTTTAGTGAGATTTATGGTATATGATGTCCTGAATCTTAGGTATCATGGCCAGTCAGTAAGAAAAGCAAATGAGTTCAACCCACCTGTTTAATCAAAAATCCTTTGTATTAATCATTAGCCAAATTGTTACACCTCTGAAAATTAGCTACTTCTCTCTTTTGCAATTTTATGGTTAGTGGTTTCCTGCTTACCATAGAATGCTGGCATTCTATCTGGGCATTTTTCTAGTTTCTCATGTTAAAAATTTCATTTCTTTATCTTTCTCATCCTTTTAAAATAATACAAAAGTCATTTATGAGTTTTCTTCTGTGTAAGGTTTTGACTTCATTTCACTAAATTGTATTAATAGTACTTTCATTTATTTTTGAAATAATTTCCACTTTTTAACTTGTTGGAATTATTTTGCTTAAATTTTATTCTTAATTCTTAATAACACAAAATATGGACCCAGCACACTTCTACTGCACTACTTTGCTACCCTAATAACATAGAATATATTCTTTAGAATACTTGTTTCTTGAAATTTATTGATATTGATATTTGCTTTGTGATTAACTAGATGCCCTAATATCTATTGATTAAGTCAGTGGTATTATATAGTTACTAATTTCCCATTGTGCAGGATTAAGCTTTGAAATTAGACAGTCTTGGACTTGAATTCCTCTTACTTCCTAGGTAACCTTGTCTTAATTTCTTGGTCCTTTTTGGTAATGTAAAGTGAGTGTTCTGAGGGTTTAATGAGATAGTATATAGTATATTGCCTGATAAATTTAAATGCTCAATTAATAACAGATTTTGCTGTTGTATTATAATGTGATTTCATTTTTATTGATCTAATATTTCTTTCATTTGACCCAATAAAGACCTTGATTAATTGGGAGTTTTCAATGAAGTTGTGTTTAGTCCATTTGTTCATATGTTACTAACAATTTTTATTTCATGTGATAAAAACTGTTTATCGTAAAAGACTTGGCCTATTTAATGCTTGAATTCTATTATAATATGTCAATTACTATGTTCTTTTCTCTTTGTGTTCAGGAATATTTTAATTCTTTTCCCTTTGTTTTTGTTTTGCTTTAGATGTGCTGTGTAAGTAGCATATGGTTAATTTTGTCTTACTAGTATTATTTTGTAGTGTCTGTCTTACAAATATTCTGTTTTGTCTTTTGTTGAATTATCACATTTTCTTTAGCAATATAATTAACAAGTGTTATTTTTAGTGGCAAAGGCTATTAAGTCATTAAGAAATTGTATAAGTAGCATATGAATGCTTTCCTGAAGCAAAAATTTAAAGACATGGAAGGTGTAAGGAGCCTTTCCCATCTTTAACACTATCCTCCAGCTCTCTTCTCCCTGAATTTAACCATCACTGAATGAATTCTGTATATCCACTCAGATGTTTTCATCATTTATGTCTCTCAAATTGATTTGTTTCACTTAAAACATATCTTAACATGTATCTTTGCATTTATATGCGTATTTTTCTGATTGGAATTCTTGATTCAAGTGCATGTATATTTGAAATCTGGGAAGATTCATGTGTATACTTGCATTTTTAGTGAAGTTCAATCTTTTCATTTACTTAAGGAAAAAATATGTAAAGATGCTATGAACTAAAAAAGATTAGTAATATGCAGTATATAAAAAGATTATTTTAATGCAAAGGATTGGTGCATAATAATTTGCATGAGTGGGTATGGCACCCATGGAGATATATCTCTTTCAAGAGAATCTGCTAGAGGAGTATTCCTTTTTTAAAGAAAAATGTTATTAGCGTATATTAGCTGCACAGGGGGCTTCAATGTGACATTTCCATATATGCTTACATTGTACCTTGGTTAGGTTCATCCCCACCATCATTCACCCTCACCTTCTTCCCCTACTTAAAATGATTTCCAAAGTGTTCTCTCTTCATACATGCATGTAAAGCACATCAACCATTTTCATATTGACTGCCTGCCTCTAGCTGCTGTCCTGTGGAGCTTCTATGGCCTTCATTCAAAGGCCATGCATCCTCCAGGCTGTTCCTAACTAGCGACTGAACACAAGATGTTTTCTAGTGCAAACCCATGTCCTGTTGATGTATGTGGGACGGATTTTGTGGTTACTTTGGCTTAGGACCTTCCATCTACCTGTTTGAATCTTTCTCACAACTTCTCTGTGGCCTCTATATTGGATCCAAATGTCTGTTATATTATATCAATATTGCCTGTGTATGTATACTGGCAGATACTTTTAGTATATTAATCCTGTTCCACTATTTTCTGGTGTCCACTACTACTTTGAGAGTGGGTCTTAAGTTTGACCCTTCAACCTAGCTAGTTTAAAATTTTTCTCTCTTCTTTCCTGCAGTTTCAGTGTGATATGTCCAGGAGATTGCTTCATAGTTATCACACTTTGGAATCATTGAGAGTTTTGAATTTGTGGTTTGGTATCTTTCATCAACTATGGAAAGCTTTTAGTATCTTTCTAAATATTGCCTCTGTCCATTCTCTTGCGTTTCCTGGAACTTTAATCACATGTACTAGCTACTTTTTTTCTTTGTTACTGGATTCTTTGAAAATTCTTTTGATTTCTCTTACAGTTCAGCTTTATAAATTCTCCCTTCAATTATATTTAAAATATACTGCTAACCTTGCTTGTATTTTTCTTTTTAGAATTTCTTATTTTTCCATAAATCTATTACGTTCTGATGTTTTGGTTTTTTTGTGTATCTGTCAATCTTTAAATGCTTATCATTTTATTTAAAACATTATTTTGAGGAAATATTTGATACAGAATGGCAGTTCTTTCCTCTGGAGAAAATTTTTTTCATTAGAATCTGAGGTCTTTGCCATTCAGAGATAGCCTTAATCTAAAGTCAAGGCTTAAATTTCTCTGACCACCCCTGTGGCAGAGCCCAGGCTGACTATCTACAAAAGCATTGATTTACATCAGTTCATTCTTACCCTCAGGGTGCAGTCCTGTCCCAGTTTCCACAGAAGTGGGAGATATCATCAGGCTCCACACCTCAGGCAGATTCTAGACTTCTGTATCTGTCACTCTTAGCCCAAGAAGTTGCTAATTCTGCAACTCAGATTTGCCGGGGTTTTAGCAAACATTCTGAGAAGAAAGCCTCTTCAAACACTGAGCTTATCTTTTCAGATCATTGTTTTTTCTTAGATTTTGGCCCATTGTTTCTTCATCAACTTATTGGCCTCTGATGCTTTAAACATTATGCTCTTCATATTACATGTAGCTCTCTTAGTTGTCTTAGCAAAATTATCTATTCTGAAATAATTACATGCAGAGGTCATAATGGATTTGCAGGTGATAAGTGTTTTTATTTCCATTGGCACCCCAGCTTTCACTGTGTGCATATCACTATCAGCAGTATCCCTGGAGAAAAGTAGGAGAATTTTTGCAATGCAAATTATGTAAGTAGCATTCTAATTGTCCTCTCAAGGCACATTAGTTTGGGCAATATTTTGACAGGATCCAAGGCTCCAGCATATGAATTATATTCTCTTTTAAAAATAAGCAACTATTATTAAGTTTTGCTGTTTTGATAGCAAACATTTCATTAAAAGTATCCTCTTAAATATGTAATATTCAAAGCTGCTATTCCAGCATATTTGAATATCTTATGTAAGCATATGACAGAATACTTCAAAAATCCTCTTGTATATAATGTATTTTGTCTTTGAAGAATAATAATGAAAGTGTTCAAGTGTCTTTTTTGTTATGTCTACTAATTCTCTTACTATAACTATTTAAAATACAATATACAATGATGAGCCAAAATTTGTAGCTTTCTCTGTTGTTAATGATAATTACATTATACTTTTAAAACTGATTTTTTATTCAATAATTTTTTTTCAATTTGAAATATTAGTCTTTCAGAAAACAGAAGAGAAACACGGTTTAACTAATCATGAATCTACAGGACTATCACATTTTGTTCTAGCTTTTTCTTTGTATTTAAATCGATTATAAGTAAAAGAAGTGGCACATTTAGTAAACTTAATTATTGCCATTTACTGCTAACATAGACATATACATACATGTACTATATACACATATATATATTATAAAATATACATATATATTTTATATACAAATACATATACACTACAGATACACATATATTCTAATTTAATTGGTGATAGACTTCAAAGCATAAAGCATTTAAGGAAAATTTCATTTCAATTTGTATTTAAAATTCTTGTTTGTGCTTGAAAGTGAAGTTTTTATTGACAATAAATCCAGATAATACATCTTACTCATAATTCTGATGTTGAGATGCTAAATACATTCAATGCTAACCTATGAGATTATAATAGGATCATTGATCAGTCCTAAGATTAAGGATGCCAGAAATAATGTAGAAGGAACCATTTTGGAAAAGACGTATGTTTAAGCCGTATTGTGGGTTTGGACCAAAAGTCCATTAAAGCTGGACTTTAATGCATCTTTGGAAAGTGTTTATTAAGATTCAACCCACTCCGTACATTTTTTTTCCCTTTGGTAGTAATGTTTTACAATGAAATAATTATGATGATGGGCATTTAAAAGTAATTTAATTTAATTTAAAAGTAATATGATTTAAAACTATTATCATTTTTTATCATAGAGTATTCAAGCAAGCAGAATTTTAGCTGAGAAATTTTTGTCTGAAAGCATGGAAAGTATCATTAATTTAGATGATTATAAAAGAAATTTTAAGGTATGTATGACTTATTCTGAATTGTGAGTTGGTTACTATATCTTCCTACAACTCAGAAATTATTTCTAGTAACTCTAGAATTATTTCTTGGTGTTTCCTCATTCTGGGAAATGGCTTAGACCACCAATGGTGTCTTTGTTGAGGACACATTTCTTCTTTCTGAAATATGATGTCTTTAGGACACTCACAAGATACCATTCGTTATTCAATAGCAAGATATCTGCTGTGAGTTTTTCTATACTTTTCAATTTTCTCCTCATTCTTGCCTAGTATTTAAATGATTAAACAAACATGTGTATGAGCCTTTGGCCAAATGGGGAAGCTGTTTATGAAGCAGAGAGATTGGATGTGTACTTAAAACTTCAGGATTATTGCAGTGTGTCCAGATATGTTTATCAAGTAATTAAAAAGGATTAGAGAGAAAGAAGATAGTGATTCAGAGAAGAAGAGAAGTAGGAACTTTATATAAACTAGATTATTAATGCCCTGAAGTTTATGGGAAAACAGGAAACAGTTTTCTTTCATTAGTGCCTTTATTCTTCTACTACCTCTCCATAGCATGGGGTGGTGAGCACCACATATTATTCTGGGACAAATCAAACTCATTTTCTAATCAGTTGAATAGGTTAAACATGTCTCTATGCTTCCTCACTTGTCACCCATACAGTCAGGAAATATCTTCTTCTCTATTTTGGAGGGGGTTGATAATAATTCTAACATGGGTTATTGTTTTGCTGACTCTTTATAGAACAAATATTTGTCCTTATGTATATTTGATTCTTTTATTTTTCCCCAGCCTAAGATCATAATATTCATACTCACTGTTTTATCTGCAGCACCTAGAGGAGTAATTGTCACTTAAAAACAGTCAAATCTACAAATCACACTTTTCTAGGTTGGAAAGCCATTTTCAATTTCTAGATTGTTGTAGTGGCACCCCTTGCACCTATACATCATATATTCTTGTTTTTAGTAGCTGCTCCTTCCAATCCACCCTGCTATAGGCTAAAATCACAAAGGATGATTATGTCACTCATGTCTCAAAAAGCTTAATAACTCAACCTATCAAATAAAATGGAGCCAAAGTACTTACCTAAATTTCATAACTGGTCCCATCTATATTTTCTGTTCCTCCCATTATGTTTCTACTTCCACCTAACATCCATGTACCCTGTTGTCTGCACAGAGTAGGTCCTTGTGGACTAAAATTGCTGACACTTTGATATTTCTCTGTACTTGTTGGGGCTGTTCCTATGGCCTGGGATGTTCTTGACCCCATCTCAGTCTATAGAAATGCTGCTGCCTTCACACAGCTGTGATGCTACCTGTTTTCAAGCCAGTCTATCCAGGTTCCTACCTGTTCAGAATTGACCTTTATCCTTCCTGCATTCTTTTTGCACCTGGTTCATGTCATCTTTACATCATCACCACAGTTGTTCTGGATTATAGATGCTGCTGTTTGCACCATTTTACTATCAGAGGGCACAGCATATCTTTCCCTTGTACTCTAATATGATGGAGCTTTCCATATCTTTCATATAATAGCATGAGTCTTGGTGCCATTATACTAAATGATACTATTTGTGTGGAGGCCAAGAGTTAAAGGTTGAGGTTGCTTGTGATTAGAGGTGACTGCCCAGAAGAAGAGCAGATGTCCCAGGTCCCACCAGTGCAGCCCATGGCTCAGCATGTCTATGCTGCATTCATACACACTTGTGCTGCTCAGACCTGCTGGGAAGCTTTGCACCATAGCACTGGGCACATAGCAGGTTCTCGATATTTGCTATCTCAAGTTGAACTTTAAAAATGAAAATAATATTCATTATTTTACCCTTTGCTAAATTAATTGATGGATTTTAAGTTTTGTTTCTCTCTAAGAAGTCAGTGACTTCAAAACTAGTAAGAACATATATTTTTAATTAGTATATCTACATTTCATTATTTACCTAAAGAATGACCATTAGCCAATTATCATATAGTATTTCAGTATATAGAACAGTGTCTATGCTTAATGTGTATTTTTCATTTGATTATTTCACAGTCTTTCATACTAAAAAAATCTGCTTCATTTGAAAATATTCAAAAACATTTTAGAACACAATTTCCAAAATTGAAGGTATGTAACTGTGCCATTTTTATTATCAAAAAGAATTTTGTGTTTCTAGCAATAATAACCACCTTATGTTCTTTTAAAAGCATACACATTATAATTACAGTTTGAGTTAAATCTATTTTCCCAAGATGGGGGTAATAGTAAGTCATGGAGTATGAATATCTCTGGTGTACTTTAGTATATCTTAAATACATAACTAGCTTGCATGAATTTGTTATTTTTGGAATTTTGGATCTAAATTCATTATAAAGAAAAACATCTTTATAACAACTTGTAATAGGAAATGCAATTAATTTGTTGACAGTGGCTCAATAAATAGGATATGATATATCAAAGGATTTGAAATAATTTTTACTTTATTAATAGTGAATATTATTAGAGTTTCAATTACTAATGATTATTGCAAATTAATAATTGTCAATATAATATTTTGTAATATAAATAAAATTACATTGATTCTCTAATGATTAGATAAAATAAATAATAGAATGGAATTTTGTTACTTAAGCTTATAACTACTGAATTGAAAGTTATGATAGAGCACATATTAATAGTGTTGTATAGAAATGATTTGAAAATAGGCTCACAAATTGATTTTTACCCATTCTACCAATTCTTTTTTGTATTAAAAGTAGAGAATGTGGATATATGGAGAGCATTTGCTTTCATAACTAATACGTATCTACATAACAGTATTTATATGAATCTAATGAAAACCAATCAAATTATTATACTTTGCCTTAACTAACTCACTATTAGCTTTATAATTTGACTTTTGAATAATCTTAAGTATTCTACCAGACCTTTAAAGAACTAACACTAATGATCCTCAGACTATTCCAAAACTACTAAGAGAAGGAATGTTTCTGAAGTCATTCTGTGAAACCAGAATTACCCTGATACTAAAACTGGATAAGGATATAACAAGAAAAAGAACAGGAAAACCATAGCTCAGGAATAACAGTGAGACTGGACAAAAGGGATTGCATCAAATTAAAAAACTTCTACATAGCAAAGGAAGCAACAGAATGAAGAGACAGGCTACAGAATGGGAGAGAAATATTTACCAGCTAGTCATCCAACAGGGGGCTAATATCCAGAAATATATAAAGAATTCAAGAAATGTAAAACCAAAAGAACAAATAATCCAATCAATAAATGAATAAATGGGCAAATGGGCTGAACAGATACTTCTCAAACCAAGAAGTACAAATTCTCAATAAATACTTGAAAAAAGTCTCAACATCCTTAGCCATTAGGGAAATGCAAATCTAAACTACACTGAGTTTCCATCGTGCCCCACTCAGAATGGCAATATCAAGAAATCAAACAAGCCGGGCACCAGTGGCTCATGCCTATAATCCTAGCTATTTAACAGGCTGAGATTGGGAGGATGGATTGTAGTTCTAGACCAGCCTGGGCAATTAGTTCATGAGACCCCCATTTCCAAAATAACCAGAGCAAAATGGGCTGGAGGTGTGCTTCAAGCAGTAAAGCACCTGCAGAGTCCTGAGTTCAAACCCCAGTACCAAAAAAAAAAAAGCCAAGCAACAACAAATGCTGTCAAAGATGCAGTGGTGAGGAGGGAACCCTTATGCACTGTTGGTGGGAATGTAAACTAGTACAACCACTATGGAAAGCAGTATATTACTACCATATGATTCTTCTATACCACTCCTGGGTACACTTGAAGGAATCTATGTCAGCATACAATAGAGATATCTGCACTCATGGCACTGTTCACAATAGCCAAGTTACGGAATTATCCTAGGTGCCCATCAGTGGAAGAATGGATAATGGAAAATGTGGAATATATAAGCAATGAAGTATTATTTAGCCATAAAGAAGAATGAAATCATGTTATTTGTGTGTGTGGCGGGGGGGAATGGATAGAATTGGAGATCATCATGTTAAGTGAAATAAGCCAGACAGAGAAAGACAAATATTGCATGTTTTCTCTCATATGCAGTGTCTAGATTTACATAAAGACATGAAAATAGAAAGGGGATTATGAGGGAAGAGGAAGGAGGAAACAGAAGCTGGAAAGGGGAGAAGAGAAGGGAACAAGGAGATGGTGAATAAGATCAGCATACACTATATACATGTATGAAAATGTTATTAATGAAATGCATTATTTTATGTAACTAACACATACTAATAAAAGATTTAAAAAGAAGACAAGATTTAAAAAAATGTTCAGGAAAGTGCCCAAACTTCATTAACAAGAGTTGTAATTGAGTTGATTAAAAATGTAAAGCAACTAAATTGGTTTTGTATTTTTCTACATCTTTGTTTCCTATTACAGAGAGCAAGCTCTGCAGTTGAGTTGAGGAAGGAGGAGTGCATTGCACCATTGCAAATTAGGGATGACATGCAAAGCAACATGGAAGTGCTGAGTTTCCAGAAGGAGATGGCACGGAAGTGCCAGTTCTCTAAGCCAGAGAGAACATCTGAGGTCTTTGTAAAAGAGCACATAAATGACATCTTTGATAGCTTGCAGGAGAAACACAGTCTGAAACATCCATCTCTCTCCCTAACTGAAGCTTCAAAAAAGGCTGGCCTCAGTTACATTATTTATCCCAAGAAAAAGAAGATGAAATGGAAGAAAGGATTAAAGTCCTCAAAACTGGAACGTGTGTATGAAGAGTTATCTAAGCCCCCAAGGATAATTAAAAGGTTTTGTTCAAACAGTATATTTTTATGATATAAGAAATGTATGTTGGTTTGGAGACTCAATTTCATAATTTTACCCCATCACGTTGTTATTTTACTCAGTGCTGAACATATGCTGAACTAAAGTATCAATCCCTCATTGTAAAAATATATGGATACTTCATAGTATAAATAGGTAAATGGTTCAAACGATTGACCTAAGACTAAATCAATTTGATGTCTGAATGAAGTCTCTCAGTGAAAAGGAAAGAATGGTTTGGTACATTAAGCCAATTCCTGGCTTCCTACAATAACTACTCATTCAAAAATCAAAATAGATTGCAGATATTTAATTGTTCTTAAAATTTTAAACTCTTGTTGAGTTGGCAATAAATATAGATAACTATTCTGAGCTTTTTGGATGTTGTAAGCATTTCTTCAGGGATCAACATACAAAAATAATTTTTCTTCTCCCTTGGAGGTAATCATAGCTAGCATATTTAAAAATATGGAGGGACCTAAAATAATAAGAGGAAACTCCATGGATGTTCATGTTTAAGTGTTTTGAATGTAACTTTCTTATAATCAAAGTATTGTGCAAAATAGTTCCTTAAAAAGTCTGAGATTTATTTTTCTTTAGACATTCCTAGATGATAGAGTTAATTAAACTCACACACTTTTGAAAAGTAAAGACTTCTCTGGTTGATGAGGGAATCAAAATTGTTTTGCTCACTTTTTTTGTTATAAAGACTTGCTAGCTCTGCAAAGGGGTTCATTATCATTTGGTGCTGCTGGTGATTTATTATCTCAGAAGAGTTGGGGGTGGGAGTAACCCATTGTAAATGTGAGTGACACAGCAGAACAGAGGCCAACTGTGGTAGAGAATGGCACATGAATCCTGGTTCTCCATGTACCAGACTTTTCCCTCCAAGGAATGTGGCTTAAACTTTTTCCTTAGTTTAGCTTTAGGAGGTTTCAAGAAGATTCCTCTAGGTGAAATTTGCTTTAGGCCAAAATCAGAAGTTTGCTTATATATTGTTGATGTCTTTACTGATTTTAAAGTACTATGAACCTTCAGCACCCTAGTAAAGGATAACACCGCACCTTTTTTGATCAATCACTGGGTGACTTCTATCTAAGGAAAGGATATAATAGCGTATTAAACACAGCTTCTGTGGGATGTTGTACTGCTCATTTAACTCTTATCATTTTGAATATAAAGTTTTACCATTTAAAGAGATTTATTTGTCTTCTTAAATAAACTAACTTAAAACTTGTGTATGCTGCCAACAGTCATCACAGGAAACACAGGGTGAGCTGAGCCTTCGGGGGATGGCAATAAAAAAGTGCAGCAGAATTTATCAACGACAGTACATTAGTACAGCTTTCTTACTTTTTAAAAAAAAAATCTTAATTTCAAGTAACTTACCACATAAATATAGATAGGAAATAATTGTTAATTCAAAATAAGTTATAGAATAACTTTACAAATAATTGCATTTCTATACTTTGAGATGTTTTTCCTTAATCTTAATTTAGCGACTCAGAAATACCCTTCTTACCACCAGCAATGGTGATACAAAGAAATACTGTAATGTCCAGGAGCTCAGCAATTAGAGTGAGCTTGAATAATTGGTTAAGAAATTTACTAAATATCCACACCATATTCTATACCCAGCCTTTAAGCTCTGGCTCCATTAAGGTTAGAAGTGGACTACATATGTTCTCGTATAGCAAGTCAAATCTTGACTGCGGAAAGCAGTTCCAGCAGTATGCATTTGAGCTGATTAAAGACTCAGATGCATGCATTTTCCTCCAGTCCCCTTGATGTGGATTAAGTTACCTTGTAACTTCCCCCCTCAACCAGGTCATGGCAGAACGCCGTGTGTCCTAAGTGACTCAGCTGCTCACTGTTTCTCTGGATGTTGCCCCTCTGCCTTGGTCTTTGAGACCAGTGTTGCGAGACTAACTGGGGAGAGATTGGAGGAAACCTTCCTTAACTGACAAAGCAGTGAGCCCACTGATGACCCTGGCTACCTTGACTCACCTGTAACCCTTGCTTCCTGCTTACTGCGTTTTGACAGAAGTGGTCAGATTCTAGAGGTTTTGGGGGTGTGGTGTAGACAAAAGTCTAATTGGACTGAATTTCAATCTAGCTCTTCAGATCACAAAGACATTGTAGGATTGTTGACATACTGGACAGAACAGCAAAATGCTTATTACTGTCCCTGCAATGTAAATATAAGCTTCTCCTGATTCTCCATATCATAGGATGGAAAAGAAAGTATACCAAGTCAACAGCTGAAGATTAGGTGTCAGGAGGTGTGGTCACTACTTCAGTAAATACCCCCACATCTGGAACCAATGTGATTGTTATCAACACCAGACCAAATTTGTGATAATTTATGGTAATTACCAACTGTATGAATTTTGTACTGGCCAAACAGAAAATAGAGATATGGAATTGCTACTTGTATCGCTCAAGTTCTGATGTTTTCATTAATCTATAATTTCTTTAGTGAGCTGGCTTTTTTTTTTTTTTTTGCTATCTTGGTGGATAGTGTTGTTGGATGGGAAGAAGGAAGTTCCAAAGAGTTCTACTTGGCTCTTACTACATTATCTTCCTGTCTACACTTAATTCAGTTTTGAAACTTACTTGTTCCACTGTACATTCTGTGGTGAGGAAGGTGGCCACAGGATGGGTCCTGGCCTCACTAGATCCATTGTTAGATAGTCTCAGACTAAGGTTCTTTCTGTCACTTGACTTTCATAGTCTCTAATTTGATTGATGGACTTGTGTGGTAACCACAGGGGGCTATTGAAGATCAGGGTAAGTTTAGAGCCAGTATCTAATAACCTCCAGGAGGGGTGAACATTTCCCCTCTCTCATACCACTGGAAGCTTCAGTTGGGGGTTGGGGTTGATGGGATGTGGTGGGGGAAGCACATGACAGGATCCTTTCTCAGTGAGACCTGGCCTGTTCTTCCTGTCAAGTGAAGTTTTGGACTGAGAACAGTAAAGAGGATGTGACTCTTTACTGTAGCTGGTTTGGTTTATGCCCAGAAGACCTGGAAGTTTCTCACCTATGTAAGTCAAAAAACATCTTAGCAGGATGTCCACCTGTTGTATCCACACACATCCTTGCAAGGCAAAATTCTGTTATTACCATTTGGTCATTATGGTTTATTGTTGTAATTGTAGCCTCTGTGTGCATAATGGTGAAGGAATTTTAACTTGAATTTATCACTCCACAGCCATTAATTCCACTGGAATCACTGAACTAAGTTAATTTTCTCCTATTTCCCTGCTTATTATTCTTTTATTTTGTTGGCAGTACTGGAGTTTGAACTCAGGGCCTTGCACTTACTAGGCAGGCTAAGCCACACCCCTTGTCCTTTTTGTTTTAGTTTCTTTTCAGAGGGATGAGGTCTTGTACTTTTTGCTCAGGGCCAGCCTCAGACCCAATCCTCCTACCTCAGGTGTGCACCACCACACCTGGCCCCAAGTTATCATTCTTTTCCAGAGCTGAGGTCAGCACCCACAAGACTTTCCATAGGTGTTGTGCCCCTTCACTTACGCATTTCCTGGTTTTTCCAGAAGTTAGGGCTTCACTAAGAATGTTCCATATTGCAGATCAATTCCCATTTTCCTGAACCTTCCTCTATAGCAGTGGTTCTCAAAATGTAGTCCCTGCATCAATGTATGTTATCTGGGAGCTTTTTAGATGGGCAAACTCTAGAACTCCATCCTAAGTCTACTGAATTAGAAACTCTGGGGGCGAGGCCCAGAAATCTGTGTTAAACAAGCCTTCTAGGTGACCATTTTGATGCATGCTAACTCATTTGCTTAGAGTTGCCAAGGTAGTCCAGCCAAGGCCGCCCTAAGCCACAACCAGCACCAGTCATTCCCAGGCCACTTATGTGGAGGAGGTATATGGGACGTCGAGGGATTACAGTGGCTGTGACTCTGGAGAGGGTTCAGAAGTCACAGCTGTGTGACTTTGGGAAGTGCTTACATCAGGTGCAATACAGTGACAGCGTAGTCATTGAAACATATTTCAATGTGTAGGAGAGGATTGAGTCTCTTAGATGGGGATCTGACAGTCCCCCAACCAGTTTCTTTTGTCAAGGGAAGATAAGTGGAAATTAAAAATTCTCCCCTACCTTCATGTCTGCTCACAAATTCACTTTTCATATTTCAGTTTTCTGTTCTTCCCCTAATGGTTTCATTGCCATAGTTCACAAGGTTTAGGGGATTTAAACTTTCAGTAGGTACTGCAAATATTCTTTTGGTCTGGAAATGACTACACAATGTTTATAATAATTTTCTTATGTCACGGTTGTCTCCTTAATCACCCACTGTAATTCTCCAGTGTTAACTCGGGGGACTGTTCTCATTTCATAGTCTAGGCAGGCTACAGGAGTTCCTCACATTGTGTTACGATTTTAATGACCAAAAAGGTAGACTTGGGTTGCATAAAATTAGTATATAACTTTATTTTGATACTACAAAACAACAATTTTGTGTGTGACTGAATTGATTTATTGATCAGAAATATAATTATGCTTCTGTAACTAAAAAACATTCTTGCTTTTTAAAACTAGATCCATGTCTCATGGAATACTTCCTGGACAGAAGAAATATTTTATCAAAGTTCCAGTATATGAGCGCCAAATACGGTGTCCCAGTGCGCCTGCGTATTTAAGTTTTGATGAATTTGTTCAAAGTAAGGGAGGAACACCAGCAAATAGTGATCCTTGGACATGGGCAATTTCATTCATTAACGCTAAACGTCAGAAACCTCCCAAGCAAACTGTGGAAACATCTGTCTCTAAAGAACTGCCTGAAAAAGTGTCAGAGTCAACAAAACTAGAATTAAATGATTATGTGACATGTGGTCTTCCACCAGAAGTCATTAGATACTATGAAGCCCAAGTAGAAATTCTGACTGAAGAAATAAACAATAAGGAAACATTTCCTGTGTTTGCATATTGTAGGCGTGGAGCTATTTATAGGAAACTGGGAAAATTACAGAGTGCCATGAATGATCTACAAAAAGTAAGTTTTTAGAAAGAAAATAACAATATTCACTATTTGCATTGCTTTTAACTATGTAGTAATTTTTACTGGAATTTTGAATAGTGAATGGTCGTAGACTGTATGGGATTGTGAAAATGCAATTATTGGCATTTTGAAATAATTACTATTAAAAACACTACATTTTTGTTTGTCACATTGGGAGGTTATATTTTATATTGTGCACATGGGACGCCATTGGCATCAATAGTGTTTGAAAAGCTTATTTGTTAGTGTACCTTCCTTTAGAAAATCAACTTTAACTGAATTTATACATATATTTTCTAGGCTATATTCTTGGAGCCATTGTTTCTAAATGCCTTTTGGCACCGACATTTCATTTATCTCTTCCAAGACAGAATTAATGATGCTTTGGATGACTTGAATTATATAAATAAATATAATAAAAATAATGCAGGTGGGTTATGTGTGGAGACAGTTATATTATCTGCATCATTATCTCAACTTTTGTCATTATGATAAATATACAAAAGTCAATAGATAGAAGTTCTGTAAAAACGATTGTGATTTTCTTCAGTGAATTTTTTCTCAATATTGCAAAAGGCAGGGTTCATACAATCTTATATTGTTTCCAAAATACTCATCATGGTTTGAAATCCCTTTATCATCCTTACAGTAAATTGGTCCTTACTGTTCATTTCACAAGGAGCATGTGAATGTGAAAGTTTTCATTTCAGAGGTAATTCGCAAATGTTTTCCTAAGAACGTGAAAATACCATACTCATCTTAGTATCTCCAGCACCCACAGCATAACCACAGAATACAATACGAGCTTACTAAACGCTTTTTTTTTTTTGTGGTACTGTGGTTTGAACTCAGGGCCTTCACCTTGAGCCACTCCATCAGCCGTTTTCTGTGATTGTTTTTTCGAGATATGGTCTCGCGAACTGTTTTGTCTGGGCCGGCTTCGAACCACGATTCTCCTGATCTCTGCCTCCTGAATAGCTAGGATAACAGGATACTAAATGCTTGTTGACCTTTGTTGATTCTGATCCCTGTTTGCTAAAAGTCCTTAACATTTTATGACATCAAAACCCAACTTTTTGGCTGAGGCTCAGGTGGCAGAGCATTTGCCTAGCATGTGTGAGGCTCTGGGTTCAATCTCCACTACCACAAAAACAGCCTTAACTTCTTACTTTTAATAATCATGAAAAGACTATGAAACATTTTAGACATGCACAAAGGTAAAAGGTAATTTTTGTCACTTCAGGTTGGGAGTACTTGTAACCACAAATGAATATTTATCCAGATTTGAGAACAAATTTGGCATTGTTGAAGTAAAAAAACAAAAGATTAAGTGGTGAAGAAAGTATAGTAGATTAAGAAAATATAATATTAAGACTATAGTTTTGGAAGGAGAGGGATTTATTTTTAAATTTTTCATAGTTAATGAAGGGATTGTACCACTAAATTTTACTTTTTCATCTTGTTTAGAGGCATATTTGTCAAGGGCAGAAATTTTCAGAGAAAAAAATAATATTACTTTGGCAATTCTAAACTATACCCAGGCAATTAAGTGCATGCCTACGAATGCTGATGTCTACTTCAAGAGGGGTGAGATGTATGAAAAAGCAAACAAAGTGCTGGCCGTTGATGACTATTCCAAAGTAAGCCTTATCGTGTGTACTGCTGCCATTTATGTATTTTAGGTCAAAAGATTTTCATGCTAATAGTACAGCAAGTTCATAAAAGTATTTTCCACAATCAAAATTAATTGCTTATAGATTAGGAGCTAGCGTCTTCCTTGCTGGTATTGATATCAACATAACTTCAATGATACTTAAAGAAACTATTGGGGTAGGAATAGATTCATATCAAAGTTCGTGTGGGGTATTGAGACAACTCTGAGGGGGCTCAACTCTTCTGGTTTCTCTCCTCTTGTACTAGGAAACTGTGGTTAAAGTAGCCTTAGGTCAAGCAAATAGATCAAATTATTTTCTGCTTTTAAACTCTTGTATAGCTGATGCTGTCTTCAGAGGACCTACCTGTTCTAAAAGAGTCTATGCTCACTGGTTCACTCACTCATTCATTCATTCATTCATTCACTCTTCACAAATATTTATTGACCAAGCCACTGCATACTGTAGTGGACACACAGTGGTGAATAAAATAGGCATGTTTTCTTCTTACATAGAAGTTATAGTTTAAAGAACAGATACTTATGGGCAGATATAACCACTTAAACATGTAATAACAAATTATGAGTGTGCTGTGAAGGAGGGTAGGAGTTAGGGGGTGCCCAAGAACACCCTTGAAGAAGTAAGCTTATTTATTTATTCATTTATTTATTTATGTGGTACTGGGGTTAGAGGTCAGGGCTTCACACTTGCTAGGTAGGCACTCTATCCATCCCATTAGTCATGCCCCCAGCCCTGACTTTTAACTGTAAATTCTTAATCTTTAGTGTACTTGAAAATTTAGAAGAAATTATTTAAGTAATTTATCTCTCCATGTTCCCAACTACCCTGTTTCTTAATCCATCCATCATGGTTTAGCCATTGACTTGATATTCTTCTGTTTGAGGATACTATTAGAAATTTTGTAACTTCTGGTCTAGAAATGACCCAAAATCTCTTTTGAAGATACTGAAATTGTTAGATTCTAGATTATATTCATCTCCTCCATCTAGCACTAAATGCTCTAAAGTAAGTTCATATGACACCTTGAAGTCAAACAAGTTTCAAACTCTAGTTTTTCTTTTCCATTTTAAAAATGCCAGGGCCAGCTGGTAAAGGTCTTTTCAACTCAACACATGATTTGGTCTGTCTTGCACATCAGTGTGAAGTGCATGAACCATGCCACTACCAACACACTTCTTTTCCTTGTTTAGGGCTCGATTAATCCTTATTTGATTTGATTGAATCAGCCCTGATGCCTAATGTGTTTCATCTTCAATTAAGGCAAGATGCCGTGAGAGACTCAATATATCTCCCCTTAGTTGAACAAATTCCTGTGTGGATTTGTACTAGAGAATATTTCAGTAGGCCAGAGCCTTGTCTTCTTGCATTTGCTGTGTTTCTTTTTCTCTTGGAAAATATTCTCTCTCAAGAATTTTGATGATGGATGGATTTCTTAATATAGTCCTTAAATGCAAATCTGAGAATTTTGACATCTTAAAGTGGTTTTTCTGATATGAAGTTGCTATGTGACTATAGAATATTCTTAGTTTTTATTTCATTATGTGACATGTTTATATACATCCCCTCCGCCCCTGTAGTGTATTTTTTATGATCCCCAAAGAACAGATGCATTAATGAAACGTGGGATATTTTACTATGAAAATGAGAGCTGGACGGCTGCCATACAGGATTTCACAGCTTTGTTAAATATAGATCGCCTGAATTCTCAAGCAAGGTAAAAATTATTTTGGATGTGGTTTTTGAATTATTATTATGATATGAAATACATGTGTTCAAAAATAAAATTTCTTGAAATACATCAATACCCTTTTTAAAATGATGAATTGACTTTCAGTGCCACCACTTAAACTACAGTGGTGGTGAGTGATTTAGATTAACAGGCATAGAGACATTGAAGAATTATTTCATTAGCATCTCCTCAGGATCAGTGACACCATACATGTCTAAACCATCACCCACCTCTATGCTTTTCTTCCTTAAATTTATTTTTCATACATATTCTTCATATCCATTGAGTGCAGAGGAATGTTCCTGTATATATTTCTGTAATACTTTATTGTAGTTGTGTGTTGAAATTTGTTCTTCCAACCTTATTGTGCATAGTACATTTCTTACTTTCTTATTTACTTTCTAATCTAAGCTTGTGAAGAGATTTAAAATGTGTACATAGTCATACCTACTCATCTTTTTTACCTGTAGTCTTTTGTAGGGGAGGGGTCAGACAGGGTTTCACTCTGTGGCCCATGTTGGTCTCAAACTCATGATTCTCCTGCCTCTGCCTCTCTACTGCAGGATGTGCCATCCCACCTGGCTTCATTTGCATTTTTGGCAGTCCTGGGTTTTGGACTTGGCTTTATGTTTGCTAAGCAAGTGCTCTACTACTTGAGGGATGCCCTGAGCCCTTTTTGCTTTAGTTTGTTTTGCAGAGAGGGTCTTACACTTTTTGCCTGGGCCACCTTGGACTACAGTGATGCTTCATCCACCTCCTGATTAGCAGGAATTATAGACACGTGCCACCACACCCAGTTTATCTTTTGAGATAGTGTCTTGCTAACTTTTTTTTGCCTGGGCTATCCTTGAACCAGGATTCTCCTATCTCTACCTCTCCAGTAACTGGGATTCCATGCATGCACCGTCACACTTGGCCTTCCATTTGCAATTTTTAATAGTAAACCCTATTTATAGTAAAAACAAAAGCATGTCTGGAACCCCCTTGTGGCTTTGTGCCCCCTGGAGGCTAAACATTAACCTGTCGTGTATTGTAATTACTCCCTTGTAGTTCTTTATAGTTACGGTACAATGTCTCTGAACATTTCAACTTTTACGCAAAGGAGTCATACAGTAGCATTGTTCCAGGTCTTGCCCCTTTCTCTGTATATTGTGCATTGTTGCTTGTGGCTCTACTTGCTGTGTGCTGCAATTTATTTGTCTCTTTTACTGTTGAGGGATGTTAGTGTCTGCAGTTTTTGATTATGAATATTATTCCCCTGAGCAACTTTTACACAGGTCTCTTAACACACTTATGCACAGCTTCCTGTGGCATAGAAATGTCTGGTTCATAGCAAGCACAAGTGTGCAACTTTGGGACCACCTAATTTTCCTAGGTGCTTTTCCTGCCAGCAGTGTGTGTGGGTTCTGCACAAGCCCTGGGTGCTATTACATGACTTTCAAACTTCAGCCATCTTCCCCAGCGGGTAAGAGGAGCCCATTGGACTTTCATTTTCTTCATTCCTAGCATGACTGTGCATTCTCATAAATTTATTGACGATTTGGAGTTCCTCTTCTGTCATTCATATCACTTGGGATTGTCTGCCGTTTTTTTTTTGTGTGTGTATTAATCCCTATAATTTCTTGTATATTCTTTTGTCTGTGTGTGTGTTCCTGGGGTTTGAACTCAGGGTCTGATGTTTGCTAGGCAAGAGCTCTGCCGCTTGACTCAGGCCTCCAGTCCTTTTGCTTTTAGCTTCTTTTTCAGATAGGGTCTGCGCTAATTTCCTTTCCCCAGGCTGGCCTGGAACCCCCAGTCCTCCCAAGTGGCTGGGATTTAGGCTTGTACCATCATGCCCAGCCCCAAGTTCTCAAATATTCTTAATATGTACCTTTTGTTCATTAGGTTTATGGAAAATATTTTTGTTCATTCTTGATTATCATTGAACTTAAATCAGAGTTCAAAAATGTAATATAGTCTGACTTACAGCATTTTCTTTAAGATTCATGTCTTTTATGTCATATAAGATTTTTTTCTGCCCTGGGTAGTCTGTTCGTATAATCATTTTAAATTTTAGTCAGTCTGAAATTATTAGTCTTGTCTATGTATGTTTAAATTTAGACATTATCAATTTGCATGTGCATTTTATTACAATGCTTGTCACGACATTGAAACTTGTGTTAGGCTTTTCTAACATAATTTTATTTTGAACTTAAAAATCATATTCATATACATTTAGGATGCAATGTGATCTTGTCGTATTTATATTCATTTGCAAAGATTAAATCAAGCTAAGTAACATGTCCGTCACTGTGCATGTTCCTTTGTGGTGAGAACAATTAAGATATACCTTTAGCAGTTATGAAATATGTGAATCATAGCTGCTAGCTATGGTCACTGTCTGTGCAAAAGATCATTAAAAACTTATTTTTCCTGGCTAACTGAAATTTTGTACCCTTTGGCAGTATCTCCCCTTTTCCCATTCTCCCTGCCACCCCAGCCTCTGCACCATTCTGCTCTCTGCTTCTGTGCGCTCTCCTGCTTCAGATTCCACATATAAGTGAGATCATGCACTATTTGTCTTTCTGTGCCTGACTTGTTTCACTTAGCATAACGTCCTCCAGGTTCATCCATGTTGTCACTAGTGACAGAATTTCTTTCTTTGTTAAGGCTGAAGTGTGTATTCCATTGTGTACTTATAACACAGCCTGAGAGAAAATATTTGCAAACCATACATCTCACAAGGGGCTACTATCCAAAACATATAAGGAACTCAAACAACTCAATAGCAAGAAAACAAATAAGCTGATTAAAAAATGGGCACAGAACCTAAGTACACATTTCTCAAAAGAAGACCTACAAATGGCCAATGGATATATGAAAAAAACACCAGAAGAATAGTCAGGGAAATTCAAATTACAACCACATTGGCATATCCCTTCACACCTGTTAGTGTGGCTGTTATCAAAATAAGGAAGATGAGTTCTGGTGAAGATGTGGAGAGTGGTTTTTAATATGAAGAGTTATAATTTTTTATTCAGCCAAATTTATCAGTCTTTTTCTGTCAAGCTTCTTCCTTTAAGATTAGGAACTCAGTCTCCATTTTGAGATCAGACTAACAATTCACCTACAGAGTCATTTAGCTCTCTTAAACATTGATTTTTAAAGTTTAAAATTTTAATCCATGTGGACTTTTTTTTTTTTCAGTACTGGGGATTGAATCCAATGCCTCACACCTTCCAGGCAAGAGCTCTACCCCTGAGCTGTGTCCCCAGCCTCCATGTGGTCTTTGTTTTGAGGTCTACTGTGAGGTGTAGATAACATTTTCCAAATAGGGAAGAATTATCTCATACTATTCATTGAATAATCCTTTCACAATTTATTTGGCATACTAACTTTACACATTAATTACATACATAGATGATGAAATATTTTCTTTTTAAATGACTATCTTTCTATTCTTATAATATTTATTTTAATTGTAATTTCAGGCATATTCCTTCATTACTATTTTGTTTGTTTTGTCAGTGTATGTCCAAGTCTACTTGCCTTTTTATCCACTCCAAGTAAAACTTTAGAATTATTTTGCTAAAATATCTTTAGAACATATAAAGCATTTCATTCAAATATTTATGGATGTACAATAAACCTTAATAGTTTCCTTCACATGTTTTGTACATTTTAGGGTAAGTTTTAGCCCCAGCTTTTAAAATACCTATTTTTTCTTTTATGCATGAGATATTTTTCATGACATTTTGTAGGTTGTTATCGCTAGTATTTATGAGAGTAGTGTTGTTTTTGAATGTTGAATGTAATTGGTCATTGTGAACCAAGTCATCAATGCTGAAATACTTTTGTTTGTTGATACTCAAGTTTTCTATCTAGGTGAACCTATTATATTCCAATAATGTTAATTTTATCTCTGAAATTAAGAAATTTATTCTTCCAAACAATTCCTTCTTTCCTTCCCTTTCTCTCTCCTTTGTTTTTTATTTTTTGGCAGTATTTGGTTTGAATTTGGGGCCTTACACTTGCTAGGCAGGTGATCTACCACTTGAGCCGTGGCCCTAGTCCTTTTCTGCTTTAGTTATTTTTCAGGTAGAGTCTTGTGTTTTCTACTGGGCCAGCCTCAGACTGTGATCCCACAGCTGGGATCACAGGCATGGGTCACCATATATACTTTGCCATATATTAGTATAGCCACTCCAGTTCTCTTTTGTTAAATACTTTTATGAAATATCATTTTTCTGTCATTTCCACCTACTTATGTCATTTAATCTAAGTTGAATCTCTTAAAGATAGCGTATCAGTGTATCATTATTAATTTTCAATCATTCTTTCAATCTCTGCCTTTTAATTTAACAGTTTAACCTGTTCACATTTCATGTAATTACTGCTAAGGAAGAGCTAGCTCTGTCAATTGTTTTCCATGTGTATTATATACTTTTTTGTTCTTCAGTTTCTCCTTTACTGCATTCGTTTTTGTTTGATATTTTTTCTAGTGTACCTTTTTGACTACCTTCTCTTTTCTTTTACTATTTATTTTTAAATTATTTTCTTAGTAGTGACTTTGGGATTACAATTATAATATTAATATGTAACAATCTAGTTTGAAGTAGTATCAACTTTTGGCAAGGATTTTGTCTGCCTATAACTGTCACAAGTTCTGTGCTGCTGTTGTTACAAACTACAATGCATACATTCTATGCCTATGAATGCAGACTTCAAATAATTGTTTGAAGCAATTGTTTTTTGAGAAGAATCAAAAACTAAAAATATTAAAATATTGGTTTTTAAATTTACCTATTTGTTACATTTATTGGTGTTCTTTTCTTTGTTGCTTTATATGGCCTCAAGTTAATTTCTAGCATTTTCCATTTCAGTGTTATAGACTCCTTTTGACATTTCTTGTAATTCAATTCTACTAGCAGTGAGCCCCTCGAGTTTTTGTTTACTTCAATTTTGAAGGATAGTTTTCCAGGTACAGAATTCTTAGCTTATGATTT